TTACAAAATCCCACCTTACGATTATGTTAAACATTTTCTCAAAAGTAGTAATAAAAAAGAAATGATTGACCACATATTATGGGTGTTGTTATATCGTAGAAGAGAAGGGTTTGAAGTAAAAGAAGACATTAAATCATATATTGAAAGTGAAAAGTTTATTGTTAAAAATACAGTGAGAGATATTAACACTTTTAAAAAAATGAAAGAAGCAAGATGTATCAATTAAATAGTTATCCTGAACTGAAATTATAATCATACTATAATAATAACATGTAAAATATTCTATGTTATAATTATATTTCAATATTTAATTGTATTTCTTTGGAAAAAGTATTAAGAAATAACAACTATATATATATTACAAGTAAGGTCCGGCAGGGCCGGGGGCGAAGTTTCAAAAATATAAAAACTATAGTTCCCTTTCTCTTTCTTTTCTTGACTCTTTTTCTCTTCTTCTTCCTTTTCATTGTTTCCTTTTTCCCCGTCATTCTTCCTTTCTTCCTTTCTTTCCTTCCTTCCTCCCTTCTTTCCTTCTTTCTATCTGTCTTTTCTTTTCTTTCTTTCTTTCTTTCGTTTGCTTGTTTTTGCGCTGTTCTCTCTTTTGTCTCTTCTTTGTCTATCTATTTGTCTGTCTATCTATTTTTCTCTACCTATCTATCTATCTCTCGTGCTATCTATCTATCTGCTTCTCTATCTATCTATCTCTCTATCTATCTTCTCTATCTATCTATCTTTCTATCTCTCTATCTATATATCTACCTATCTCTCTATCTCTCTATCTATCCATCTATCTATCCATTTATCTAGCTGTTTATCTATCTATCTCTATCTCGCTCTCTTTCTCTCTCTATCTATCTATCTATCTCTCTCTCTCTATCTATCCATCTATCCCTCTCTCTCCATCTCTCTTTCTATCTGTCTATCGATCTATCTGTCCATCTATATCTGCACTTAAAAGTTGCGATTTTCAAGCACGAAACTTGACTTCGCGTACTACTTTCGTACTTAAAAGTTGCGATTTTCGAGCCCCAGCTGCGAAAGTGGACATCACGTACTACTTTCGTACTTGAAAGTTGTGATTTTCCAGCCCCAGCTGCGGAAGTTGACTTCTTTCATACTTAAAAGTTGCGCTTTTCAAGCGCCAGCTGCGAAGTGGACTTCGCGTACTACTTTCGTACTTAAAAGTTGTGATTTTCAATCCCCAGCTGCGAAAGTGGACTTCACGTACTACTTTCGTACTTAAAAGTTGCGATTTTCCAGCCCCAGCTGCGAAAGTGGACTTCACGTACTACTTTCGTACTTTGGAGCTCCAGCTGCGAAAGTTGACTTCGCGTACTACTTCCGTACTTAAAAGTTGCGATTTTCGAAAGTGGACTTCACGTACTACTTTCGTACGTAAAAGTTGCGATTTTCAAGCCCCAGCTGCGAAGGTGGACTTCTCGTACTACTTTGTACTTAGAAGTTGCGATTTTCAATCCCCAGCTGCGAAAGTTGACTTCGCGTGCTACTTTCGTACTTAAAAGTTGCGATTCTCGAGCCCCGGCTGCGAAAGTTGACCTTGCGAAAGTGCTGCGCCTGCCACGAAATCTATACTTGACCTTGCGAAAGTGGCACTCCTGCCGCGGGTTTTGCACTTGACCTTGCGAAAGTGCTGCGCCTGCCCCGAAATCTGTGCTTGACCTTGCGAAAGTGCTGCGCCTGCCACGAAATCTATAATTGATCTTGCGAAAGTGCTGCGCCTGCCACGAAATCTATACTTGACCTTGCGAAAGTGCTGCCTGGCACGAAATCTGTACTTGACCTTGCGAAAGTGCTGCGCCTGCCACGAAATCTATACTTGACCTTGCGAAAGCGCTGCGCCTGCCACGCAACTCAAACCTTGCAAAACCTCCGCGCGGCCGTGCCAATGGGCCCGTCTCCGAACCCGTTCCGAGACTGTTCCGAGACTGCCTCCGTACGGGCGTCGTGTCCGAGGTGGTTTGCGCACTGTCCGGAAGTCCAATTCACGCACAGCGCCAACGTTTCTGCATCTTGCTATCCTCCAGCTCGAAGAGAGTGGATCCAGCACCTTGTGAAAGCACTGCGCCTGCCACGAAATCTGCACTTGACCTTGCGAAAGTGCTGCGAAAGTGCTGCGCCTGCCACGAAATCTATCCTTGACCTTGCGAAAGTGCTGCGCCTGCCACGCAACTCAAACCTTGCGAAACCTCCGCGCGGCCGTGCCAATGGGCCCGTCTCCGAACTCGTTCCGAGACCGCCTCTGTACAGGCGTCGCGTCCGAGGTGGTTTGCGCACTGTCCGGAAGTCCAATTCACGCACAGCGCCAACGTTTCTGCATCTTGCTATCCCCCAGCTCGAAGAGAGTGGATCCAGCCCCTTGCGAAAGCACTGCGCCTGCCACGAAATCTATACTTGACCTTGCGAAAGTGCTGCGCCTGTCACGCAACTCAAACCTTGCAAAACCTCCGCGCGGCCGTGCCAATGGGCCCGTCTCCGAACCCGTTCCGAGACCGTTCCGAGACTGCCTCCGTACGGGCGTCGTGTCCGAGGTGGTTTGCGCACTGTCCGGAAGTCCAATTCACGCACAGCGCCAACGTTTCTGCATCTTGCTATCCTCCAGCTCGAAGAGAGTGGATCCAGCACCTTGCGAAAGTACTGCGCCTGCCACGGAATCTGTACTTGACCTTGCGACTGTGCATCTTAAAGCTATCTATCTGTCAAGCTAGCTATATGTCAAAGCTATCTCTCTGTCACGCTAACCATATTTTGGAAAGCTATCTATGTGTCAAGCTATCTGTCATGGTGATATGTCGAAGCAGCTAGCTCATTTGGTTCCAGTACTACGGAAGTTTCTTGTTAAACTTCCTTTGATAATGGTGGAAACCGAAATCAATAATTATATCAATAAGAAATGCTACGACTGTTGCCACTTCAAAAAGGAAAATATGGAATTATCCAAATTAAATTTACCTAATGGAATAGTTAATAATATTATTGATTATGCTTTGGACGAAGAAAAATGCAAAATTTGTAAAAGTTCGAGGTTTTATCAAGAATTAATCAAATGTCATTTGAACTATAAAAGGTTTCTTAATACAAATGGTGAAGACGACGTTATAATATTTCTAACTGTGTATGAAAGACCACCTTATGATTATGTTACAGCATTTATGAAAATCAGTAAGAAAAAGATGAAATGATTACACACATATTATGGATGTTGATGTATCATAGAAAGACAGGCGTTGGTTTGAAAAAAGACATTAAATCATATATTGAAAGTGAGCAGTTTAATGTTAAGAATACAGTGAGATATATTAACATTATTTTGAAAATGATGCATGAAAGAAGTAAGATGTATACACAATTTAATAGTCATCAATTACCTTATTATCCTGAATTTAAACTATAACCATACTATAATAATAACATGTAAAATATCATACGTTATAATTATATTTAAGTATAGCGTTTTATATATTGAAGATAAAATCCTACAAGGGACACCACGCCTAAACAAATATATGATGAAACTGATGAAACGAAGGAGGAGAGTGATGTTGTTGCTGTTCTATTTTTTGTCCGAGACATGGACAAATCGTTTTTAGACAGATCGACTTTTTTTGACGACACATATGTTTGCAATATATTTTGCAAAATATATTTTTTTTGAAGTGGATGAGGTGAGGAGATTGAGGAAATGACATTTTGAAGGGCAGTTGGTGAAATGAATGAGGCGAGGAGGAAGGAGAAAGGATGGCGAAAATGGAAAAATGATGAGAAAAAACGGATGAGATGGACAGAAAGGAATGTAGAAAAATGATGATAACAAATAAGGGTAGAAGATGGAAGATGAAAACAGTTGTAGGGTGGGGGTGTATGGATGAAAGCAATTAATTGCTAGGCGTGGCCCTCGACTACTGTTTAACGGTGATCTTTTGCCAAGCTTCTGCCAAGGCAGATCTGGGATTTCGACTCACGGAATTAGAAGTATTTCCTGAGACTTAGACGGCGGATCTCAGCAAATGACGGATCTCAGTGATTTCAGGCTTTACGCAAAAGATCAGGGCGTTTTATTCGAAATCGGCGCATCTCAGGCACCGGAATTTTAAGAGATGAGATCGGGGCATTTCATCTGAAATCGGCGGATCTCCCTTTCAGATTCTTTTCAGCAGATTGCACCGTCTAAAAATCATGTCCCAAGATCGGGGGATTTTGGCTTCGCAGTGCAAAGGAAGATTGCGGATGAAATCGGCTGACTTATTGGTTCGGTGGAATGGTCGAGAATCCGGCGGACCAGGTTTCTGGAAGTTTGCAAATCATGTCGCCGAGTTCAGCGGACAATTATGATTGATTACGCAAGGGCATGCTTTCAGCAGAATGTCGATGAACGATGCCAAAACAACAGACGGCTTCCTTTTCTTGTAGCAGCGACGCAGGCTCAGGGAACTTCAATTGAAACTTGCTCCACTCGGGCCAGATCCGTGCCGGGGAAGCAACCGGCCCGGCTATTTTAGCAACTAACACGGTGCGCCCAACTCATTTTTTCCACATCTATTGCAGCTTTTTTCCCGACCATCCTCAGCGCGCAATCGCAGCTTGACTGGCCTTGCCAGACGGGCGCACGCGTAGCGCCTAAGCACTTGCGTTTGTCGCGAAAACGTATGCTATTGGGCACCAAGCAGTTGTGAGCTTGCTACGTCTGCTGCAATAGTTCATTGTCTCTATGTCTTCGTGAGTGCGCACGTTCATGCGCATGTTTCATGCGTATTTCGTGGCTTCCTGCACAATTCCACTGCAACCCCGGGTCAATGCAACAACGCCCCCGAATCGGGCAACAATGCGCTTCCCCAAAGGAAATGGAAACTGCTCACCGCAGCAGCAAATGAGCAGACAATGATGGAGCGTGTTCTTCAAGTGTGAGCAACTAAGGGAGGCTTTTTTGAAGTCAACGCCCATTTGGGGATCGAATCCAGCCACTTTCCGGCGCGACTTCAGGCCTCCGGGGCGTCCAGCACCAGCACTTGGTGCGGCACTACCCCCAGCTGCGCCAGGCCCTCTGCCTGGGCACCCGGACGCCCCAATGAAGCATGTTCGATTTCTTTGAGCTGAGAGTGATGCAATTGCCGCTTTCTTCCAGCAATTGCCACAAGTGAGCTCCACAAAAAACGTGACCATGCGTCTGCCAGGGTTGAAAATCAAAGACCTGCGCAAGCCCTCTCTTTCCCAAGCATCTCACTCCAAATAGGGGCACAAGGTGGTTTCCTAAGGGCAACTGAAATCTACTTGGCGGGCCTGTCCGGCATCCTGAACATCCCGAACATCCCGAGCATCCCCACCTGCCCGACGGTGCAGGGGAAATCGTCCAGCACCCAGCCCCGTTGCAGCACATCTGGCGACAGGAGCCGGAACCGCAAGGCCTGGATCACCTCAAGCGGGATGGGACCAGTTGGGTTCGACCGGAGCCCAGGAATTGGGAGAGCTTGGGAGGGCTTGGGAGAGCTGCGCTCTTGTCTGCAACCAACAACTCCTCCCATTTACGATTGTGGAAACAAACTAACTTGCTTAGAATGAAGTCAAGAACTGCATCATGAATGGAATTTTGGGTTTGAACAAACAGGGTTGCCATGTGTTGCTGGAGACTGTTGGCTCCGCAAGTCTAAAAGTAGTTGCCCAGACTCCATTTTAGGGCCTGCGCAGGTCTTTGAGGCACCCCCCAATTCCGCTCGCGCCCGAACACTCCTTTCGAACGAGGGGGCCAGCTGTCAGGCCTGAGCGAGAAGCCAACGTAACTTTCCTATTTGGGGGGCTACATTGATTACAAGTCCAAGGTCCTCTGCAGACCTGCGCAAACATGGAGAGCGTTGGCTGCGCGTGTTCTACTTTAGTTCTGCCAGTCAAGAAGTCCCGCCGAAGTTAGACACTTTTCGCCAATTTCGCTCGCAGGCTGAAGTTGTCTAGCACTCCTCGTTCGTGTCTATTCCGAGGATCATGTGAAATTGTACCATGTGTGAAAACAAGCTCACGGCACTCACGACATATCACTTTCTGATGCGACGCTTGGTAGTGAGACAGCCAATAAGGGTTTGCCTGGTAGGAGATGGCAGGAGTATGACAAAAGCCCAGACAAACGGCATCAACCCATGGTTGCCAACTTGGGCGAGTCAGCATAGCAAACAATACCGCAAAGGTTGTTCATTTCACGGAGGGAAGGTGCTTGTGTTTTCTTCACAAAGCAGGAGCCAAAGAATCACTTCAACTCAAGAGAACACTTATCAACCTGGATGGGGGCAAGGCTAAAGGTCCTGCGCAAACTCCTCCCCAACACAACCCAGAACACGAACCTCAATGGCCCAACCGCTCACACAAGTGAAGCGGAATCTCAGCTGACGCATTCATACCTCGCAGGCCAAACGCATTCAGGACAAGCCTGAGTTCACACCCCTGTGTGCACAAAGACCTCTGTGCGCAGTATACGGCCACCCAGCGTATAGTTGTCGCTTCGAGCATGATTAGATCGACCCGTCATAGTTGTCCATCCCCAGCTCACTTGCTTGTCAGAGCATGGGACAAGTCTGGCTTTCTTGAACATCCTGTGTCGCCATCCCGTCATAACGTCTGGGGAAAAAAGACTGTCAGGTTTGTGTTTCTGGCAGAATTGTCACTTCATGCCATTGCTCTGTCTAGACAAGATCCCACCCAAAAAAACCTTTCTGAAAGTATCCTCAGAGAACATCCGCACCACCTGCCGCATGTGTTGGCGCTCGTGTGACCACAGGTAAAATTGTGGCAACAAATGATTGTGAGTTGGGCAAATCCGTAGTCCGTAAAGCGCACAGTCCAATCCGGAAACTGCATCACTAGTAATCCTCTAACCCTTGTTGATTATGCTTTGGTGGAAACTAGCAAACCGCCCTTTAAAACCCAAATAACAGTCTGAGGGTATGGCCAACCCTTCAAGGGGCGGAAAGCCTGCGCGACCGGTCTCACCCAGCCTGGTCATCTGAGAGGCGCTGCCGCCTCAGGGACTCCGCGATGTCCTGACAGAACCGCCCCTCTCACATGGACCCAGAAGGATGCCGCTCAGTGCTTTTGCTCTCTGTTACGCAGAGCGTCTTGCCTCTTTGCACATGGTCAGTGCTGCGTGTCAGTCAGTGGAAATCTGTTGCAGGGCGCTTTGTGAAAAGCTCCGTTCGTTTCAATGTGTGCCACCTTCAGTTTGTCTCCGTATTTTGTTTGGGCGGCGCTAGCCCGTTATGTGTCAAAAATCCGCCTGAAAGCCATGCAGCGGCTATCACCGGCGCCACCAAAACATAACTAAAATCACAAGCGGGCGACCGCCGCGTCAGCAACCCCAAATTTCGGAACTTTGCTAACAATGAAGTGGCCGGCCAAGCGCAACTATGAAAATCAAGCACGCCAGGGCTTCCTCCCTGGCCGGGTTGCACTCCTTGGAAAGCTGCCACGGCACAGCCGCCGACAGCCCGGAGAGGACCTCTGGCACGGAAATGTACACCGCACCCGTCCTGAAATCTGCGACCCACAGCCCGAAGTCGAAATGTGGGGGCCAACGACTGTCCTCGTGGCCAACTGCTTGGCCACGTTGGTCTTGCCGCTCAGCGGGCCGCCCAGCACGCACACTGCCGGGCGAACTGCCACCACGCTGGAGCCTGGCAATCTGGAAGTGCGTGGGCTGGCGTCTGATTAGGCTGCACAACAGTGTAGACCAGGAAAGTGGTTGCCTTGCTTCGCGTCCACCAATCGCCGCTCAGAAAACAACACTTTAGCCCTGTAAACGTCCTTCCCCTTTTGCAAGTGCCACCCTAAAACACGCGGCGCGCCAGCAGCTCTAAGTTGGCAACTAGTGGGTTGTAAGCGTGTCAACACCACATGTCGTGTTAGGCACTCAAAACATCTTCGGCTGGGCACCGTAGCCTGGGAAGTTTGGCAACATTGGTCAGCGTGGACCAGCGGAAGCAAGCAAGCGCTTGCCAATTCGGTAAAGCTTTCCCAGAGCATGTTTCGGCGTCTTGATGAAACTCTTGACATTTTCCTGCAGAAACAGCCCCGCTGTACATTCCCGCCAACAAACATCAAACATGCGCCGGACTCTTTTCTAAAAGGAAAGCAATCGTCTAGAAAGAGCCTCTCTCTCCTCTCCGTCTCTCCGTCTCTCTGTCTCTCTGCCCCTCTGTCTCTCTTTCTCTTTCTCTCGCTCCCTCTCCCTCCCTCTCTCTTTCTCTTTCCCTCTTTGTCACTCGCTCAATCTCTCTCTCTCTCTCTCTCGTTAAAATAAGTCGATACTTTACTACAAGTGCAAATGTTGTTCTTGCTGTCACAAACACAAATGTAGTTTCCCAGCATGCACTCTTTTCCTTGTAGACTCAAGGCCTGCGGTCGGGTAGTGTACATCATGCATGTACAAGGGACAAGTAGTACAGCATGATATTTGACACGGCCCCTTGGTTAAAAGACCCTGTAGTGTCTTTTCAACCATATCCAGAAAGGGGAAAAAGTGCAAAGGGCTCAAAGTAGTTTTGGCTGCAAAAAGATCGAAAGTAGTATAACTACAACTCTGCTGGCTGTAGTCCGCTGACTCTCAAAGATCAAAAAAGCTGTAGTATGTACAGGCTGCTCTCAATAGCTCTCCTGTTCAGGCCTCAGTATGGTACTGAGTGGAGTTCATGAGATACATCCTGATGTAGTTTGGACCTGGAGGTCCAAAGTTGTAGTGAAGCTGTGGTGCTGCTTCACTGATGTAGCATCACCTGTAGTTAGGTGTGCTTAGTCCAATGCTGGACTCTGTAGCCTTGTTGCTGACCAGTGCGGTGGTCAAGGCTGGCGTAGTGGTTGGTAGTGAAGGTAGTAAGGAAGTCAGGGCCTCCTCGAAGACAAGTGTAGTTGATCTCTGGAGGTGGGAGTGGTTGTTGAAATGTAGTGAGGAGTTTGTGTAGTAGTAGTTTGTGTTGCATGGGAAGATTTGTGGCAGTGAGTAGTGTGAAGCCGTAGTACGTGGAACTCTTGTGCATGATGGTGTTGATTGCTTTGTAGTGGTGATCCTGTAGTTGTTGTGGTTGGTCGTAGTACCTGAGTAGTTCAGGTCGCGTATGTGGGCTCTGATGTCTGCATCTTCAATTTGTCTTGTAGCTGCTTGTGCTAGTTGTAGTACCATGTCGAAGTCTCGGTCGATGAGTCCGAGGTATGCATGTAGATTGAACAGCCACTCTTCGTACTGTGAGTAGTCACCAGTGAAGAACGGTGGTGGCAGTTTGTATTTGTGTAGCCTTTGGACGTCTTCCTGCTCCTGTGTTGTTCCCGTAGTTGTGGCTCCTATTGTCTCCTCTGCTGTGGGCCCGTTGTCTGCTCCTGTAGTTGGTTGTGCTGATGCTGCTGCTGGTTCTCCTGGCATGTCGTAGTAGTTGGGCATGTGGTTGCCTGTGCAGTTGTAGTACTTACTGCTGTTACTGGAGCTCCCCTATGCTTAGGATCTCAGCTCCGCTACCACGTTAAAATAAGTCGATACCTTACTACAAGTGCAAATGTTGTTCTTGCTGTCACAAACACAAACGTAGTTTCCCAGCATGCACTCTTTTCCTTGTAGACTCAAGGCCTGCGGTCGGGTAGTGTACATCATGCATGTACAAGGCATGATATTTGACATCTCTCTCTCTCGTTAAAATACAAGCGCAAACGCTGTGTAGTTTTTTTTTTATCACAAACAATGTAGTCTGCTGCAGCCCTTGTTTCTTCTCCAGCTGTAGCGAGGCTCAAGGCCTGCAGTATGTATCAACTACCAGTGTAGTGCAGATGCAGCTGTATCATGCACTCACTGTAGTTTAACACGCCCCCTCGGTTGTGCGACCTGGAAGTGTTGCGCAACCGTAGTTGGAAAAAAGGGGGGAATTCAAAAGGAACTAACATGTCGTTTTGTTCTGCAAAAAATGAGCAAAGGTAGGTCTACTACAACGCTGCTGGCTGTAGTTCATCTAACCCCCAGAGGCCAAAGAATGTGGCGACTGTGCAGGGTCCTAGTTAACCCTCGGCACGCATGGACAAGTGTAGTGAAACACGTGGCACCTTAGTGGAGCAAAACAAATGGCTGTAGGCACGAGCAGACAATCAACAAATGTAGTGTTGCCTGAGCCGCCTGAACGCTGCCAAAGTGCAAGTGATACACATGTTCTTACATTTACAAATACTTGAGTTGGGGTACATGTAGTCAAAAGAATGTGATACAAAACGTGTGTTGCGAAACGGTCGTTCTTGTTGTTGGTAGTTACACACTCATGCTCAGTGACTGAACAAATCGTGTGAGTGCGTCCTTTGTAGTGTACTTTGTTAAGATGTCTGCACTGTTGTGAAGTGTGTTATCTTTGCTATTTCGCTAATGTTGTTCTTGATGAGGTCTTGTGTGTAGAGGAACTTGAGGTCGATGTGTTTTGCTCGTTCGCTGGAACCTTGTCGTGTTGCTATGCTCTTGCCTGCTGTAGAGTCGGTGTGAATGCGTGTGTTGATTGTAGTGCATAGGTTTGTTTCCAGGAGGAAGGATCTTAGGTGTAGTCCTTCATTCACTCCTATGCAAATTGTGTAGAGCTCTGATTCTGCTGAGGACAAAGCAACTGTAGCTTGAGTTCGGCTTCCAAATGCTATCGTTGTGTTGGGTAGTTTGATGTTGAAGCCTGATGTTGATTTGCGTGGGGCATCCTGCCCAAGCGGCATCAGCGTAGATCTCGAGGTCGAGACAGTTGGTGGTGTCAGAGTTGAGTGTAGTGGTTGGTTGTGTTATGAACTTTCAGTGCTTGGTTCCTTGTAGTAAGTGTTTGACTCGTTTGTTGGAAAGTTCTGTAGGTGCTGTGAGGTCGCTTGCAAGTTCTTTGGTAGAGTAAGCAATGTCTGGTCGTGTGTGACTGTGTGGGCTAGCCAGTGTAGTTTTCCTACAGCACGTCTGTGCCTCTTGTGTTGTTCTTTGTCAAGTAGCGCTTCGTCTTCCGCTGTGGGCTTGTAGTGTGCTATTCCAGGTGTAGCCACAGGGTTGCAGTTCTTCAGGCTTGCTTCCTCAATAAAGTTGTTGATGTAGGAGTCGGCCAGTCCGGTGGTGATGTGATCACCGTTGTGTTCGGTGATTCTTCCAAGGCATTGTTGTGGTTGTTGTGGCTCAATGTAGCCAATGTGTTCGAGTAGTACTCGTTGTTGGATGGCCTCAAAGGTCTTGTTGACTATAGTTGGGTCGCCAAGAACAAGTAGATCGTCAACGTACACCATGATGTAGCAGTCTCTTGTAGGCGAAGTGTAGACGTTGGGTTCGGACTTTAATCGTTTGAAGTGAAGTTCTTGTAGGACTTGTGCCAAGTAGTCTTGCCACGCCTTTGGTGAACTGCGTAGGCCGTGCATGGCTTCTCGTAGTCGCCACAGTTTGTTTTGTTGTGGGCAGAGTTCATTTGGTGGCCACATGTAGGTTGGCTTTTCGTTGCGCTGTGAGTGTAGGAATGCAGTAGATACGTCTCCTAGCCGCGCTGTCCATCCTGGTCGTGCTAGTTGTAGGAGTAGAAGTGTCCGTAGCATTGTGAACATTGGTGTAGATGCGTGCACGGAGTCCTCGTCGTCGACTTTCTCACTGTAGCCTTTTGCAACGATGCGTGGGCGAACTTGTAGTCCTTTCTCACGGTGTACTTAGCCGGTTGGGGAATAGATATCTCTTATAAATCACTAGAAGAGTTAGCAGCGGGTTTATAAGGGTTACAAAATGTGGTTTAGGAGGTGGGTTAGGCAAGGGTTTAGCTAAAGTTTAGCTAAACCAGCAAAACCTGTTAAGGTTTTTCCTTCAAATTCCAGCACCTGTGTGCAATTGGTGCAACAATGCGTTTTCCTACCGCAAGCGAGACATCAAGCAAAGCCGCAGCGGCAGTTCGTGCGGCCCCAGAGACGCAGCTCATCTTTTTTCTCCTTTCTCATTAGCGGTTCCACAGCTCGGATCAGAGCGCCCATTTGTTTTCACATTGTTTGTTAGATTCATATTTTCAGGTTTTTTCAGAATCTGATTTTTCAGGTTTGATCTCAGATTCGGTTTCTTAGGTTTTTCAGAGTCTGAATTTCGCAGATTTTTCAGATTCAGATTTTTTTCAGATTTTTCAGAACCTGAAAAATCTGAATCTGAAAAAATTTGAAAAATTCAGATTCTGAAAAAATCCGAAAAATCTGAAAAATCTGAATCTGAATATTTATGTAGAGAAAGTGATGAAGATTCAGATTTCCAGAATCTGAACAAATGTGAAAAATCTGAATCTGAAATAATCTGAAAAGATTCAGATTCTGAAAAATCTGAAAAATCTGAATCTGAATATTTAAGTAAAGAAAGTGATGAAGGTTCAGATTTTCAAAATCTGACAAAATCTGTACCTAGAAAAACCTGAAAAACTCAGATTCTGACAAGACCCGAAAAATCTGAATCTAAAAAAATCTGCACAATTCGAATCTATATCATATCTGAGCACTTGCGTCCGCAAGGCGACTCAATCATCACACTCGGCTGCGGCTTGCGCGGGTGCCGCGCGGGCTCTCGCCCGCGGCGGCATGCGCAGGGGCGAAAAAAACCGAAAGGTAAATGATTCGGCTTCCCCTTTGCGTGCTGCGTGCCTGTGCTCGAAAAAAGCCAAGTCTGCTAAGGGTGTTA